ACACACACACACACACACACACACACACACACACACACACACACACACACACACACACACACACGTTCTACGCCTCATTCTCGCCTTTATTTCTCTTCTCCTTCATATTCTTATCATTTATTTGGCTTCTTTATTCTCCCTCCTTGTCATCTCATTCTTTCTTTTTCTGTTCGGCTCCCCCTCCTGCTTCATCAGCATAATCTGAGCTGGAGAACAACAGGAGGTGTGTGTTGAGCTTGACTTGTTTCAAACCTCCTCCTCAGGTGCTTTATTTACCCAGAATAATGTGTCGTCTCACTGTTTTCTCCCAGAAATAGTTGCATTCTTTCATTTAGTCTTTTCACTGACTTCATCATAACAAACAGCTGTTGCATGCATGAATACATAACTCCAAAACAAAACAAGGGTCAAAAGTTCAAAGATGTTGGGATGTTTGTGTAAAATGTAAATAAAAACAAAATGTAATCATCTGCAAATCTCATGAACTCACAGTTTAACTAGACGATTCACATTTTCTGTGAAAATGCAGTGTGAGTGCCTAATGCTGAAAGATTGTTGCAGAAAAAAAGACGTAAAAATGTTTTGCTATTTGTTATAAAAAGAAGCCCCCAAAAAACCTGAAATTAGAAGAGAAGCTGAAAAATCAGAATCTAGTACAAAGATGCAGAAAAAGCACATTTGCTGAATTAAGCAGTACGTTGCTGAAATTATCACAAAAAGGTGAATTTAGCTGAAAACTACTAAAATGATCTGAAAACAGCTGAAAAGTAACTGAAATTGCAGAAAACAACTGAAAGAAGCATAAAAGCTTAAATTAGCATAAAGACATCGGTAGTAGCAGAAAAGTAAATTAGCAGAATAGCTGAAAATAACAGAAAGGTGGCTGAAAACCCAAAAAAAACTAAAATTAGTGAGAAAAGAAGCTGAAATTATCACAAAAAAGTTAAAAAAGCAGAACCAGAACAAAAGGTGAAAACTACAGGAACAGTTTAATAACTTTGAAGGGTTTAATGGATGTTGAAGAACAAAAATGACCAAAGACTAAATATCTCAACGTATACATTTATTTTTATTTTCAAATTTTATTCATTTAATTAACAAACAAAAACTTTATACACTACAGGAAAAAATATATAAATAAAATGAAAGGCAGCTGAGAGAAGAAAAATATCTTATAATATCTGACCCTTTTCCCCCCAAGAATATATTAAAATAAGAGCAATTTTACAAAACAAAAAAACTAAACAAAAAACAAAACCATGTTGAACAACAATTCATATAAATACAGTTTATTCCATTTCATATTTATCTAACAAACCAACTTTTATAATTTTCTCAAACATTAACATTGATCTGGTGTTTTTTACATCACTCTCCAGATTATTCCATAGTTTTATTCCTTAGATTGATGTACACCACTCCTTCAAACCCATTCTAACAAATTTCAGTTGGATGTGTAATGGTAATATGTTTTTGTGAGCCTTATACATAACCTGTAAAATATCATAATCAACCAAATCATGGAATTTCAATAATTTCAACTGATGAAATATTGTATTTGATGGGTGACTGTAATGTTTTAGTGGTAATTCTTATAGCCCCTGTCCGTAAATTGAAAATTTAGGCAGACAGAGCTGAACGTTTTGATATATGTTTTGTGAAAATAACACAAAAATTGCAGAGCAAGATACATATAAAAATATACTGAAGAAAAGGGAATCGTCTCAATAGTTTGATTTGATTTGATTTGATTTATTTATTTAATAGGAAAAGATTACTAAAAATCAAGCCTGACTCGGCATAATTGCTGTTTTACAGCAGGTTCCTGTTCTGCAGCACATAAAACACTCAGAAATACAACATCACAATCACATCATTATACACCATARACACAAAGACAAACAAGCATACCAAATTTCGAGAAGGCAGCATTTGCAAAATCGGACGTCTAAATATGAGCACAACAAAAAGTGTCCAGCAGATGGCAGACAAGGTTCTTCTTAAAGGGCTGTAGTTTTGAAATGGACTT